TACGCATTCCCGCATTAATGACATCGAGGCACCGCGCTATGCACACTATCACGATTAATTTGTAAGCAAATATTTAAATATTTCTAAGGCTATATTATGTGAGATCGGTAATTTCGCTTGGATGGAATTTTTCCAAAAGAACAAATGCAAATTTGAATCGGTTTTTGGACCTTTTATGGCTTGGTAGACGCGTTAAAGACAATAATCACCGTGGATGATATCTTTGTACAAAAATCTTCACAATTAATCAGGTGAAATCTTGACAGATTGGACAGTTACGCAATCAATTCTTTTTAAGCCATTTCGTAAAGAAATAAACTATTTACTTTCTCGGGCTGATTTCCATGGTTTGACATTAACTTCAAACGTATCCATGATTTTGCAAAAAATAGCGCTACAGGCTCAGTTTGCTAGCTAGAAGCCAAGTGATCCATGTGACGCGCAGTTTTGAGGGATCCACTCAACGGATCCACTCGCGCTTTTGCACAGTAAGTCACGTTGCTAGCATGCGCCTTGCAAAATTTGGGCTTAGGACGTTGGCTGGAACATGTTCTACGAATTTCGCGGACAATCAGACACACAAAAAGACGTAAACAACCCTTAGCCACATATTATAAGTCACTAGCTGTCATGCCCGGCTTCGCTCGCTTCGTGGGTTTAATTGATTCAACAAAACGCAAAACTGATGCGAGGCTCAACTTACTGCAAATCGGTTTCTTCTGTTACTCATGTAACATGAGGAAACCTCCTGAGCGCATAGCTATGAATCACCCCATCCCCTGCATGGTGAGATAAAAATGCGTTTTGACGTTGTTGTTTAAGCGGAAGTTATGGTGGTTTGATAGTAGTTGGTAAGACTTCATTCTAAATCGATAGTTTAATAGAGGGAGCGGAAATTTCGCCGCGAAAAGTAGCCTACGAGGAGGGCCGGTGTCAAAATATGTGTGCAAAGTTTTGCGCTGATCGGTCCACACGTAAAAGATTCTATAATGAACCCACTAATTAACAATTTGCCACTGCTCAGCTTTATCTATGTAAAGAATATAAATGATAAAGCAATAGTTCATATTATCAGCGGGCACTTTCCTCACGCTTATCATTGCGCTGATCGCTACAGCTACAGCGTGCCGAGGAAAGCAACAATGCTCACGTCAAAGAGTTTATCGCCGCGATATTTACGAAATAATTTCACAATATGCAATGCCGCTGCCTCTCAAGTTTCCTCTTTTATTACGGTTCTTTATGCGCATGGCACCTTTGATTCTAAGCACACCATTTTTTGCATCCTTTGTTTATTCTATGCTCAAGCACATGCCGGACATTTACATCTATCCATACAGTATAGTACGACGAATGAAGTCGCTGCACACAGCACACTCCCACAAACAATCTCAGATATGGAAGTCGACATAAAAATAGAAAAACATGCCGGAGAAGAAGCACCAAAAAGCAAAAAGACTAGGAGAAGCTATTCCGCGAACTTGTCTCAATCCTAGACAGACATTTTGCCCACCTGGAGGGTGCTCCGGCATGGTTGCGGTTCAGCAAGCCATGTCTGCATTGCAGCTAGAAGATCATGAGCTAAGAAAAGAAAACAAACTACATTGGGTAAGCAGACAATTTGGATCATTCAGAAGTGTGTGGAAGAGAAAAAAAAAGAAAACTTTGAGATTCAACGAAAGTGAAGTATTCAGTTGAAACTGAAGAACTAAATCAAAAAGGAGGTAACCAACATCATCAAAAGAAAAAGAACATTGCAAATTTCAGGGAGTCGAGAACCTTGTTAACTACTTAGAAAATTGCGTGATCGGCAGCCCCCAACCGACAAAAGCACAGGAGACGACCCTTTGCGACTCCTAGTCGACGTCCGCAACGCCGTTGCTACCGCCACCACCACAACTGCCACCGCAAGCATCGTGAAGACCAGAGAACTTTCCCAGTTGCTCCTTCTGCATGCATTTTTTGCGGTAAACACCAGTGATCTACGGACTCTATGATTTATTCGACATTGGCTGAGCGTAGGCGACGCATCGCATACCTGAACTGCGGACCCTGCTTAGGGCCTACTGCGCACATGCGCACCTCTTGTCAACCCAAATGCACATGCTTTTTCTGCAAAAAAAGCAAAGAGGCTATCAGAAATGACTGGACATCATCCCATTATTTGTCAATACAATTCGAAATTACTGCATATGAGACAAGACCTAATGAACCAGGACATGAAAAAATAAGAGCAGCATCGTTTAGTAGAAAAGTCAACCTCATAAGACAGTATTACTTGTTCATGAGTGTCGAACATCTTTTGCAGAACGCATATCTACAGGAACTGCTATCCAACTAGCAGTAACGGATACATTAACTTTCCATAGGTCACACAGAAAACGATTGTGGTAAGTTCAATTCATTTTCAATTTGGTCGTTCACTTTTTCGATAGCATTGCACTAATATTATAGCATGTTAGTTGCGACCACAAAGAGACCGTGCGCCATTCACCTGGCCACGTCCAAATGGAATACGACTAAGCACTATGAAAATAACAATAAATTAGACACTCATTCTAAGTATGACTTATATCACAAATTCGTTTCTGTGGTGATTTGTAAGCGAATTGTACCATAAAGCTTATTCTGGTTTGTTCTATCTTTGTAAATCAACACCTTAGACAACTATAAAGTTTTATTGAAAAATTCTGTGTATATGGGCATCTGAGTATGTACGTGTAGGTGTGTGTATATGTGTTACGCACGTGTGAGTGTGTGATTTATGTGTGTGAGTGTGGTGTGATTACGGGTGTGGTGTGGTGTGGCGCGAAGCCCATTCCGGTTGGTGGAAATAATTTGGTATACACTTTGCTCAACTCACTGACAATTAAGTGAGTCAGAGCAGTTTTAGAGTAGACCCATAATTTTCTCTAGCAATACATAAAGAAAGGACTCAACGCTGCGCCACTGACATTACTAGCAAGTATAAGGTAAGGAAACAATAGCGAATGAGTCAAGAATGGAATCAAGAACGCAAATGGTTTGGAACTTTGGAGTTTTAGTTATTTGCAGCGCCTCTTTATTGCAGTGCGAAACATTGCGATCTTTACATTTGCTTACGTCATCACATGACGTTTTGACGAAATTGTGAAGCAAAGGGGAATATGAAATCTACATTTGCCAACTTTACCAGCATAATCTGGTTGGTACTCACTTGAGAAACATCGATTCACGAAGTTCCGGACTACTTTATGCATCATGTTTAGAATAGGAAAGTTCACTAAGAACTTACTTGTTACAGATGAAAACAGTAATTTATCACATTTAAGCAACCCAAACCTAAATTCCATAGGTATCGAGTAGAAGCCATTCTGAAGTAAGTCAGCCATCTTACATTTGTACCAACTATAGATCAAGAGAATAAATTGCGAAATAAACACAGACGTATACTAGACAGTGAACATCAGGTAAAGAAGAAAGTTCATGAACTTCTAGAACATAAGGTTTTACAAAAAACAAGAATCCTATAAAACTTGAATAAATACTCTAAACGAAAAGAAGCACAAAAAACTTTCACTACAATTATTCAGAGCTAATATTAGCTCATGTAAAAAACATCTTTTTTTCACGACAGGTTTTTATAGCAACAATCTATTGTGCTTAACGTATCCACGAATACACCATCCTCAGAGGCCTGAGAGTGAATCAACTACCTCTTTTTATCAACAACGATTTGTTGCTATAACAGCCTGTCTTGAAGAAAAAACTGAACAATATTCATCAATTATGTCAAGGGTTGTAAAAAGGAGAGCTTCTGAATTTGCAAATCATTGCAAAGCCATTTGGCAGAAAACAGTAACAGTTTTATGTTTTAGAAAGTATCATTATTGTGGTTAGATCAAGTCCAGCAAAAGGGAGCTTGAAATATACTCGGTTTTTCTTAAGCCCTGGTTACGGGTTGACCCCATAGTGAGATTGGACACAACTTGAAAAACCTAGTACATTTTATGAATGGATATAAGCATACAAAAAATGAATGATAATAGCGTGTTATATGCATGCACGAATTTGACACGGAGAAGATCATAAAATTGAAGAATTGACTCAAAATACTGATCAATACATTGACAGCCGAGTACTACTATTATCAAAACTGTTAATCATAATCATATGCTACCTAAACTTAATTCTTACTTAAATAAGAATTCCAAACTGCAAAATGCAATTACCTTTGACTCATGTTTTATGTGAGATCTGGCTATAAGCCAACGCTTTATGTTTGGTGGGGAATGCTTAAAGTAAGATAAAATTTTCCGACATGGATTTATTGTCACTCACTATCACGGTTTGCTCCGGCAGCTCCTTCATTCTTTCCTTTTATTTTTTCCTATTCAATAGTAATCGTAAGCTCTGTGATTTTATCTGAATATTCGTTAGCTTCCTTATTGTCCTTCTTCTAAAGTAGTAATGCTGGGTGACAAAAAACTTCGACGCTTCGCGCGGACGGGTCATGGGCCTCAATTGCCGTTGCGGTTGGATTTTGGCAGCGCTTACGGCACAGCAGGAAGACGGATTGCTGCAGTAAGGGCCGCCCTCGGTTCCAATGTAGTGTAGTGGATCAAGGGCCGCGAGTGATCCGTACCGCAGCGGCAACCCGAGGCCCTTCATTTCACTGTATCTCCGGCCGGCCCGGGAGCCGCAATTTGCCCGATGTGGTAAATCAAGGGCCGCAGCTTCTCGCTCCCAGTGTCTGATAAGCCCGCTTCCGGTAAACTTCTTAGCCCGAAACTGGTGCGTGAAATTGGGTTATTAGTCCTAAATTCCATAAAGTTGCTAGAGCTATCAGAACTTCTTACTGAATGATCACTTTTCAAAATCGCTGTGTGTAAAAATCTTCCATGAGTACAAGCCGCTACTTCTCCGATTGCTGTGTGGTTAGGGACCATATCAAAGCACTTCACAAAAATTGAGCGAGTTGCAAAACATGTCGATAATACATCACAAGTGAAGTTCATTTATTTCGATATGGAGAAAGAGATTAGGTGGGCATGAGTTCTCTTGCTTTCGCTGTTGAAATTTCAATGTTTGGCAGTGAGATGACAACAGGGGAAGTTATGAAAATGCTGTGCAGCGAAATAGATGTTTACGACAAAGTTGAGCAAAATCTTCGCCGCCTCATACTAGAAGAAAAGTAAGTATTACTCTTCAATTCAGCAAACTGAAACTTATCTTGGCAGGTACTAAAAACCGAATCATCTTCAACTTTATTTATTTTTTGGCAGAATGATTACAAGTGATGATATTATAATTACAAGTTTAACGATCACTTCAGTCGCTATCCTCGGTACTCAAGAAAGAGAAGAAATCTTTCTTGCACGCAGAGCTCAACGCAGATGGCTCACGGAGCATGTTGGATGTCGTTATGGGGTGAAAAGCAAAGGAAATCGTAACAAACTTACATGGGAAGGAGAATACAAGTGCCAGTGTGATATTGTATACATCAATGAATTGCCACTTCTTCGTACACTCAATACTTTGGAAGTGGTAAAAAGTTGACGAAAATCGATTCCTTTTAATCCCGCAACCTAAAATTGGGTTTCATACGAAATTAACTGAGTAAAAAAAGTTCGAGGGATTGGCCAACTTCGCGCCCATCAACCCAACAAACTTTTGCTTCCCTTCCCCTCAAAACACCGTCCATCCTAGAGGCCTCGAACTTTGGCAGCATACAATAGTAGGACTCCCTATCAAGTACATGGTCAAGTTGCAGCGCAAAATGTCGCTTCAGAGGCGAGAAAATCGCCCCGGTACAATGAGAAAAACAAAGGACCCCTAGGCGCAGCATCGCCCCTTCAATAAATGGCAGATCCGTGTTCGCCTATCCAATTTCCTTTCCGGAGAACAAGTCTGCAGGTTCTCCGGAACAAGAATTGTCGGGTTTTCGCAAATTTTCGACTTTGTGCTCAAAATCAGGACATAAGAAGGCTCTGGAATGACAAAAACATAAAAGTCGAAAATCTGGATGGACGGTGCCTTCAAGGACCGCACACATCTCGCGATTAGCCCGATAAGACAACTGTCACAGTTTACTGCATGTTGTACTATCTTGCATTTCGGTTGTGATAGTTATTTGTGATGTGACTGTGATTTGTCGCGTCGGTAGACTATCATAAACGAGATTCGAAATGTTCTTCATGCAGTGGACTCTTAACATTCGTCTTGATATGAGAATCGCGGGAGACGAAATTGCGTGATGTATATTCGGCCATTCGCAGATATAGAACTTATTCAATGCTAGGGTCACTGTGTAGTTGCGAATAAGGAGCTGGAACTATGTATGAAATATGAGAAAGTTTTGTAAGCTGAAGGCGTGCCAAACTTCTTCCGAGTTTGGTGATTTTTGAGCCACTTCTAGGAGCCACTTCTAGGAGCCACCTGAGGCCTATTTAACACCCAAAACCCTACAAGCTAATTAAATTCTAACTCCCTTCCTACCAGTTTAGTCACAACCCTTCAAAATTCTTGAATGGATTCGCAATCCTGCTCCAAGCGCACGGTGGTGAGCGGCGGACACAGCATCTCAGATAATCGCCGGGGGCAGGCGGTCCGCAAACTCGTGTTTTCCTGCAGGCGGTCAGCAGAATTTTGGGGCGTGGCCAAACCTTCAGCGGGCGGCACTTCCCTTACTGTCTAATGTTCTGCCAGCGGGCAGCAACACAGAATTTTCTGCAGGCGCTCGTCAAATAATCTCTTTCAGCGAGCGCTGGTCAAATTTTCAGCTGGCGCTTGGACGGTTTTTAAGCAGTTTCGGGTGTACGCCGAGGAAAAGTGAGACTCTACATGGCAGAGGTGTCATCGATGGTTTTATTACTCAAGTTTGAGGTACTCTCTCTCAGCGGAAAGAACCTGGGGGCTGCGCGGTCCTCCACAAAGGACCGTGCGGCACCCGAAAATTTTGCATATTCTCGCGGAAAGTCCGCGAGAATGCGGCCACTGCGCTGCAGCTAATCTGTAAGGAAATCGCGATTGTTCTCCAAGCATTCGTTTAAAATTTCGCTAAAATTCTTCCAAATATCTGCAAGCAGACCGCAAGAAATCAACGAACTATTTTTCCGGTGCCCGCTTGCTCAAAAATCGCATGGCCGCCTTCCCCCGGCGATTATCTGAGATGGCGATAGTTCGAGGTTTAAACATCATTAGCTTTTGTCGTCTATTTGTTGTGGTTTTTTGCACTCGTTCTTTTTTATTATTCATGTTTTGCTCATTTATAAGCATGTCATAGGGGAATTCGTAATTTCGTTGTGAAGAGAATGTTTTTGGTTCCAGAAAATTGTCAGAACCACCTCGTGCCGTACCCTGTTCGTGGGTGTGGGGAAGGAGGTGAAACTTCTTTCGGATGGAAAAAGTGCGATATTAGCCGTTTTTCAAAAAAAACATCTCGGTGTTCAAAGACTTTATGATTTTTTCCTGAATTGGCACAAGAAAAATTTAGCTTAGTAGATTTAAGATCAAAAAAATCAAATTTGTCTACGAGTAAAACAGTCATATAGCCATAAATTATGTAGACATTTTAATTTTGTTGATATTTCGGCTTTACGGATTCTTTACCGCAGTTGAGAACACACTTGAATTTAAGGCATAAAGGAGGTGCACCCCCATCCGCACACAGGTTTTATATGTTTTGTTGTCTCATTTCAGACCGGAAGCCATTCTTCCCATGCTTTCTCGTGAGATAGAGGAAACGACAGCTTCAGGATCGTAAGTATATATTGGGAAATAATTTTTTTGTTTGATTCATAATATTTCTGTTTGTCAAGGAGCTTTTCATCTGCTTCCATTTTTTAATAATAAACTGACTTTAGCTCGCAGTATATGCCATCATGTATAGAGGAATTCATGAAGAGTGGGTATGTCTTTGAAAAAAAAACTATGAATGCGCTATTTGTGACAGACTGGCTGATTGAGAATTGCAGTACACATTTGAATGACAAACAGGAGGAATCAGAAGCATCAGAGGTGGATGAAGTAGCTGGATGAAATTTAAGCTCATATCTGTCATTTGCGCAATTTTACGATAAAGTGTCCTGAATCCAACGTTTCCTCTTGTAATTCGACTTTAACCTTGGTAGACAAATCGCAAAAGTTTTTTTTGTCTTCCTATATGAGTCAGCTAGATAGTTTGAACAAGTGGTTAGGACAAAATGCATTGGTTCTGCAAGCGTGCTTTCAGCGGATTCTCAAAAACCATGCAACATCTCATTTTGAAACGACTGGAAGTGCTAGTAACTTCGTGAGGTAGAAGAGAATTTTATAACAAGTTTTAGCCCACTTTAACGGACCGATTGTTTAAGAGATTGTTGCTGTCTTTAGTTCTTACAAATATCTACTTTTGAGTACGAAAAATGCTAGAAAATACTAGAAAAAGGCTTTCTTCTGCTGTTGCTGCAAATACACTAATAGTATTCACTTTGCCTACTTCATTCACCATCATTTTGATGTATTAGGTTGTCCGGAAAATAATGTCGCATCTTGCTTTAACATGCAATATCGCAGCAGAGTGCGCACGAAAGTAAGTGAGTGGGGTATCAACCGATAGATCAAAGCAAGCTCTACAAAATGAAGCTCGAAGCTTTGTGCCAGGTTTGATTTGCATGAAGTTTGGAGCCGAATTTTATAAGGCACTCAAGATCTAAAAAGACGAAAAAAGTCGTATCTCCGTTCGGAAACGTTCTGGGAACCCCTAACTTGCTCACGCATGGACTCAGTATACGAGACACTCGTGTGCACATTTTGGCGGTTTTTCCGTGGCTGAAAATTGATAAAACGAAAATCGGCATGTTTCTGCCAAAACAATCCTGAGCTTCTCTCACATGGGTGATTCTGTAGTATGAACCTTTAGGAGTATAACCATGAATTTTTAGCTTTGGACAAGCGCTAAATTTCGAGGAAAATCAAATTGTTTGCAAAAAGCCCAAAAAACGCTACATATTCGCACTTCTAACCTCCTTTTATTTCCCATGCTGTAGCTATGGAAAAATACCACAAACTATACTGGTGGATGTCTAGTGTAGAGAGTACATGCCTGTGCAAATTGGAGATCCATAAGACGTCTATGGACGGAGATACGATTTTTCGGGTGTTTGAAATTTTTATATTTTGGATTCGAACTTCAGGTGGAGCACGATTTCCGCAAAGGTTTGTAGACTATCTTGTAGAGCTTACTTTGCTCTATTAAATGATACCCCATTCGCTGTTTTTTGTGGTCATTCTGTCGCGGTAGAATGCCATGCGACATTATTTTTCGGACAACCTAATAATTGTGAGCTCGGCTGGAGTCTTAACGTTAGTCGCGAATATTTTTCTAAGTAGAAGTTCTGCTTTTCTTTTATCATTCTGAGTGAAGATTATCAAACTACATGGTCTACGTTTCAAAGGTATGCACAAATTTGTTGGGTATAGAACCAGTTCTACAAACTTCGAACTCATTTTTCGTGATGCGTTTGTCAACGCAAGCAATTGTCCATTGAGTTCTGGAGAAACACCTCGGCAGGAATATCTCGTTTCTTCTACAATATTACATGTTATGTTAACACATTGCAAATTTGAGTTGCCTGCCTTCTGGGACCAAGCCTGTCACGGATCAGTCGACATTCTTCAGAAAGAATACGCATATGCCAAATGCAGTATACCTACAGTAACCTTTGATTCAACTGACTTGCTTCGGGAAGGCGGGCTTTGTGACGTAATCAAGGCCGCTCGCAGACGCGACGCACTTGCGTCTCTCTCGTGCGGGTGCTCTCTGATCACTAGCTAGCCTTTAGGTCACGGAGCCCCGCCTTCCCGAAGCCGAGCCAGTTGAATCAAACAGTAGCTCTGTGAGGCTGAAAAATTAGATGGAGGTTTTTTTTATTAATCCAGGGCAAAAAAAAGCTTCAGGATTGAGTTTGTATCAGGATAGTCGTCATTTTACTAAATTCAAACCTTGACACCCATGTGTGTCAAGCTGTCTAAAGTTTTAATCCTTGCTTGACACACATGGTGTGTCAAGCGGTAGTCAATGTGTTAAGAATATAGAGCTACTAGCTGGCATACCCGGCTCCGCCGTATGTTCCGAATAGAAAATTCCATTTCTTAACCGATCCGAACCAAACTTGGCACACATACACTTCGGGCCCCGGCGGGTGTCACAGTCCACTTTTCGTTATCGATCGATGTCGATTTTATCGATTTTTTGCAAAATTTGAGCTAGGGGGCTGGGATTTGGCACAGGGGGGTGGTGTAATCGAGCATGCTGATCACCCCCACGGGGGTGATCAGCATGCTCGATTACCCCCTTCTGCCAAATCCCAGCCCCGTAGCTCAGATTTTGCAAAAAATCGATAAAATCGATAAAAGTAATGCACGATTTCGAAAACTAATATTGTATTCGTAATCAGCATGCTCGATTACCCCCCTGTGCCAAATCCCAGCCCCCTAGCTCAAATTTTGCAAAAAATCGATAAAATCGATATCGATCGATACGAAAAGTAGCCTATGACACCCGCCGGGGCCCGAAGTGTATGTGTGCCAAGTTTGGTCCCGATCGGTTCAGAAATGGAATTTTCTATTTGGAACATACGTACAGACAGACAGACAGACATACAGACATACAGACAGACAGACAAACAGACACTCAGCTTTATATATAAGATAGGCTCACAACTGTGTACAGTGTAGGTGTTATAACAAGTAGTGCAGAATACGCTTGGTTGCAATGCGCAGGCTTTCTGTAATTCTTAACTATTCTGTGAAAAGGATGCTCGCAAGTTCAACTTTGAAAATACTTGCTGGTCGCAAATTGAACGGTTACCAAAAAGTAAGAAAAATTCAGTCATAGACTGCAAAAATTGTACATAAGGAGGCCATTACTATTTTAAAAAGTTCCACATCGATAACCTCTGTCAAAACAATTTCGTGTTTTATGTTGTTATGTGAAATGGACGACATGAACTATATTAATGGCTGACGTTTTGGCGTTTTTGCCTTCGCCGTGTCGGGACGCAGCTGAGCACCGCCTGCTCTCCTCCCGTGGGCTGGCCAAGGAATTCAGATAAGAAGCCAGTGCCTTGTACGACCGCGCCCCGTAAGGCTGCTCCAGCAGTCTTTCCCCCCCCTTTCTGTAACATATGTAAATAATAAATAAATATATCTTATATATAAAGCTGAATGTCTGTTTGTCTGTCTGTCTGTATGTCTGTATGTCTGTCTGTCTGTCTGTCTGTCTGTACGTATGTTCCGAATAGAAAATTCCATTTCTGAACCGATCGGGACCAAACTTGGCACACATACACTACGGGCCCCGGCGGGTGTCATAGGCTACTTTTCGTCATCGATCGATATCGATTTTATCGATTTTTTGCAAAATTTGAGCTACGGGGCTGGGAGTTGGCACAGGGGGGTAATCGAGCATGCTGATTACGAATACAACATTAGTTTTTAAAATCGTGCATTACTTTTATCGATTTTATCGATTTTTTTGCAAAGTTTGAGCTACGGGGCTGGGATTTGGCACAGGGGGTAATCGAGCATGCTGATCACCCCCGTGGGGGTGATCAGCATGCTCGATCACACCCCTCTGCCAAATTTCAGCCCCCTAGCTCAAATTTTGCAAAAAATCGATAAAATCGACATCGATCGATAACGAAAAGTGGACTGTGACATCCGCCGGGGCCCGAAGTGTATGTGTGCCAAGTTTGGTCCGGATCGGTTGAAAAATGGAATTTTCTATTCGGAACATACGGCGGAGCCGGGTAAGCCAGCTACTAGTTGTATAATTTCTCAGCTTCCTGTGATCACCAGGGTAAAGCGGGGGGTGCGGCACGCCGCAGAGGGGGGGTCGTATTGAGGAGTCAAAAGGGGAGGGGGTCGTAGTTAGGTGATCTGATTATAGCGATAACATGATATTCGTATCATATCCATAATTAGCACGTCAATTAACCCCTGTAGACAAAGTGTGAGCGAATTCTGAAGATTCAAGATACTAGGCTACCTAAGTGAAATGGTCAAATTCCAACATGGTTAACTTTGTTTTAAAGGTGAATTAGCTATCCGTTTTTGCATTCAAGACAAAGCACTACTCCTTCTTTGTCCACCTCAGGAATCCCGCTTCAGAAGACCTCCAAACTGTGGAATTAGAAGCCAACCAAAATCTCATTTTTCCCATTTTTCGCTTTTGATGGCTGTGCTTTCACCAAATATTACTCAGAGCTAAGAAGACGAATCAGGCTCAAAACATCCCTATGGAATCTACGAGGTTTAGGCTATCGATTCATATAAATATTGTCCGCTAAAAATGTTCTTTTGATATAGTTAATGGCCTGCGGCACCCCCCCCTCAAAACCTGCGGCTGCCGCAGGGGTGCCGCAGGGGTGCCGCAGGCCATTAACTATATCAAAAAAACATTTTTAGCGGACAATATTTATATGAATCGATAGCCTAAACCTCGTAGATTCCATAGGGATGTTTTGAGCCTGATTCGTCTTCTTAGCTCTGAGTAATATTTGGTGAAAGCACAGCCATCAAAAGCGAAAAATGGGAAAAATGAGATTTTGGTTGGCTTCTAATTCCACAGTTTGGAGGTCTTCTGAAGCGGGATTCCTGAGGTGGACAAAGAAGGAGTAGTGCTTTGTCTTGAATGCAAAAACGGATAGCTAATTCACCTTTAAAACAAAGTTAACCATGTTGGAATTTGACCATTTCACTTAGGTAGCCTAGTATCTTGAATCTTCAGAATTCGCTCACACTTTGTCTACAGGGGGTATTTGACATGCTAATTATGGATATGTTGTCCATTATGTTTGACAGAGCCTTCAGGTAATACTATCTTAAGTGTATAGTTTAGGAGGGGGGTCTTATTAAGACAGCAATCAGGGGGGGGGGGGGTCGTATCCGACGGTCGAGTGCCGCACCCCCCGCTTTACCCTGGTGATCACGTAGGCAACTGCTAGTATGCCGTATTTGAGTTAGCAAGCATAAAGCTATTGGCGAACATATGCTCAGAGCGCTTTTTACTAATTCTTTTCATTGCTATGGTTTGCTCCTGTTTC